CCGCACCTAGCCATTTCGAAGAGCCTCTCAAGATAAGCTCCTTCGTAGCTGACGCAAATCGTAGTGCCTGTTCCGTATGGTAGAAAATGAGAATCTTCTGTCTAAGAGTCTCCTCTGCCTTCTTATCGACTGTAACAGGATACTTGAAGTTAATAAATGTTCTCTGGAAGTACCGAGCAACCGTAGGCATCGTGTTGTATCTGTCTGCCATCACAACAAGAACTGCGAGGCAATTCAACGTTATCGGCTTCGTAGCATGTTCCTGGAATCAATCAGCGTATGGTACCACCTAGCCTTTGGGCAAACATACAGCTCCATGCATAATTCTCAGCATATCGCCAAATATCGTCTCTCTCCCAGCGGTCTTAGTTGCTACATCTTCATCAACGATCTTGATCCGAGGTAGCTTTTCAGCCTCGATTTCAGTAGGATTTAGGTTCGCCTGTGCCAATCGCGCATAAGCTTCCTTGATTAGCTCCCCTTCTGCGAAAGTCGGTCCCAACAGATGCTGAAAATATTTCGAGTTCTTCTTCAATGTTTCAAGCCGGACTCGGTATAGGACTCGGGGTGAGGGAGGTTTGGTCTTCGACATTCGCCATTTTCGAATATCTTCGCTCGGTATTGACTTATTACAAGCATATGTATTTTCGAAAGACACATCCAGAATGATATCCCCTGTGCTTCGTATTTCAACAACTGGGATAAGCTTCTCATCCACAAGTAAAGAGGATGCGACCTCAGGAATCTCAGGTGGTGGAGGCATGGGGCGTGTTTGACAATGACTTCGTACTATGGAGGACTGTCCGTTTGGTGTATGCTGGAACTAAAGTCGAGTCTTGCAGAACAAAGTATCTGCCGTCAATCTCAGTCAGCGGAGCTCTGTTGTAAGAAGTCATGGTTGCCATAAAAATGGAGAGCAACTACCCACATCCAGTTCGGGAGGCAGACACTTCAAATGCTACCAAAATGTACTGTTCGGATTTATGCCTTCAAGTTTTGAGGTAGGAGTACAGTTCATACATCCGTGACTATTTCTGTTTGTCAAAGACACTGTTTACAAGAAGTGTGCCTGAGAATCTGGAGGATGTGGTGATCTTGTGCCAGTAATTGTTGAAAAGACTCAAGTTCCAGCTACAACACAAGTGATAAATAATAAGTGGTTTGTAGGCTCAGATTCGTTCACGGATATGGCCAGAACATCGCGACAGCCACAGTAGGAAGAAGAGGGAGGGGAGTTTCTGGAAGAAGATTGCTGGTGATGATAAATTCTGAGTGACGCTGTTAAACCCCGGATTTCGAGAGACCCTAGAAATTGGGCACGGGCCTTCTAGTGACCATCGCTCAAAAGCGTCCCAAACATTGATGAATGAATCACTACTCCGTACAGACCACAGATTATAAACAGAAAATAAATCCATAGATTAGAAAGTCAGAAGGCATTTATTTGGAAATCATTCGGATTTTAGGTGAGAAACGATATGTCTAGAGATTGGTCGGTGAACATTATTTATTTTTGGGCTCCTTTGGCTTCCACCAATGATTAACATCTTCTACAAGTATATCGTAAATAATCGTACAGTGCTCTACAATGTTGTACAACCAGACGATACTTCGGCCTTCATCCATAGAATCATTTAATCATCCTTGCGAATGGCAAAGAAGTAATTCCCAACTTTCTCACTACCACTAACCTCTTTCCATCCCAAACCTGGCACATAAACGACGCCCATAACTCTTGGGCTATTCCATCCGCTCTTCTCCAAAAAGTAATTCCTCAACTCTGGCTCATTCACATATTTCCCCCAATCATGTGTTCCCTTGGGCACAATACCAAGAATATCCTCAGCAACCAAATTCGTCGTAAACCAGCTCATCCATGTCCTAGCAATCGTGCTCATCACAATCCATCCTCCAGGCTTCACAAAGTCTTGGCATACATCCAAGAACTCAGCTGGGTGAGTGATATGCTCGATCACCTCAAATAAACTCAAAACATCATATTGCTCCTCGGAACCTTTTGGCTTTGGCAGTCCTTCAATGGAAGTGTTGAGATATGTCAACTTTCTACTCAATCCAGGATCTCTTCTTGCATGCGCCTTTGCAACAGCTAGAACTTCTGGGCTCGGATCAATCGCGGTCACAGATCCCGTACTGCCTAGCCTCGCCGCGCTCTCTGCGAATATGCCTCCTCCACAGCCTATATCCAGGTACCTCAGTCCCGATGTCGGTGGAGGTTTAGCTTGTGCAGCATGGCAGGATCGTATGAAGTCGTGTCGGAGAGGATTCATGAGATGAAGGAGTCGAGAAGACCCCTGGGGATCCCACCATGTTGAAGCAAGAGCATTAAAGTGCGAGACCTCGGTAGGGTTGACTGAAGACGGAGGGGCGGTACTCGTGCTTTGCGCTCGGAATTGGTTATGCACGAATCGTGGTGCTGTTCGAAGGAGGAGGTTGAGATTTCGGAGGGAGGTGGATCGGAGAGGAGTCGGCGATGCCATTGTGGTCAATTAGGACGCATTGATTTGTAAGTTCGTCCTGTCACCAAATTAATGGTGATTTCGGATGACTGTGCTGAATGGTGTTGTCGTTGATGCTTGCAAAGAACTGACTTTTTGCTGTGTCAGCCAGCCTCGGCTTAGGCAGCCGAACCCCAAGTTCCAAAGGTTCTAGCTTCCGAACGTCACTCATGCAAGGTTCTGCGAGGTCGGCTGCGAGTCCCCTCATAACCATTCCGTCTTATTTATTGCTTGTGATACAAGTACCAAAAATCGAAGTCTCCTCTCTTGCTCATTCGTTCACACCTTCCAATCCTTCTCGCATTCATCGGATCCTTCTATTTCTTACACTTATTGCCAAAACGCCTCCTGACCAGCCAATTACCCCACCTTTCAGCATTATAAAGAATATCCGGCTTCAAGCGGGGCACGAAAAATATAGAAAATACACGACATAGTCAAACAATACGACAACAGTCGCAGACTACACAATGCCGGCCTCGGACATAGCACAGGAATTTGATTCCATAGAAGATACACTTCAAGCCTTCAGTCAGTCAATCAGATTTCTCGACCCGAAGTTTACCGCTCAGATATGACTAACACCTAACCAGAAAATGGCGAATTCATAGTTGTTCTCGATGATCTTACCCGCGAGAACGAGGGCGACCTCATAATCGCCGCCTCCGACATAACCCCCTCGAAAATGGCTTTCATGATCCGACACACATCCGGCTACATTTGCGCCCCAATCACGCCGTCTCTCTGCAAAACTCTCGATCTCCGGCAAATGGTGGAAAGCAATGAGGACCCGAATAAAACTGCTTATACCATTTCAATCGATGCGAATAGCCCTGAGACAAGTACAGGAATTAGTGCGAGTGACAGAGCGCTTACTTGTAGGACTTTAGCCAGGGAGGGAGTCAGTAAAGGAGACTTCAGGCGGCCAGGTCATATTCTGCCGTTGAGGGCGAGAGAGGGTGGTGTTAGGGAGAGAACGGGACATACTGAGGCTGCTGTAGAGTTTTGCAGATTGGCAGGGAAACCACAGGTTGGTGTAATCTGTGAAATGGTTGAAGATGGAGAAGAGGTAGAGGGCGTTGCGGAAAGAAAGGAACCTGGTATGTTGAACCGAGACGGGTGTTTGGCGTTTGGAAAGAAGTGGAACTTGAAGGTGTGCACGATCGAAGACTTGGTCAAGTACGTTGAGAAGACCGAGGGGAAGCTCGTCCAGAAGAATGGAACAAAATAATCTCATCTCGGGAATTTGGGTTTGTATAAAAAGCACATTTTGGTGTTGATAGTTCTTTGGATTTAAAGGGGTTAAGGGGTCACCACCTACATACTTGTACAAGCAAGTCCGATAGAACGGCGGAAGGCAATGGAGGTCATGAGTGTAGGGATACTTTTTGATCAAAATACCCATTATCTTTGGTACCAGGTCAAATTTGTTGCAAGTACTGTACTTCCTCGTTGATCAGGTGTCGTCGCATGTGATGAATGCCCCAGAGTGGCTTGAAGATCCTAGAAACATGTCAACATCCTAGGTGGACTAGCAAACACCATTTGAAAGTTAACTCGAATCACAGAAGCATCGCTGAATATACGCGAAACAATAAAACTAAGCCTGGTGAGCAGCATTGAACTCCGTGCGTCAGTCAGCCTCCCGGGCCATTTTGGCGCCGTCGAGATTTGATATCTTGCCCCCAGTCGGATTTTTCTGCAAATTGATTCAGGCCCCTTGTGCTCTAGGCCACTGGGAAGTAAGCAGACCTGAAAAGCACTTCTATTTGTCCATTGTTGCAAAATGACTGATTCTTGACCTAAAAATCTCAAGTGATGCACCACTCCCCCTGAAAACTATTTGTAAGGCTGTCACGTAGTTTTTCACTACTTGCAAAATCGAAATTTGAATTCCTTGCAAGAAGTAATGGTATTACGAGTAGACGGTATTTGTGCGGATTGATAAAGAGTTCCAGCGTGCAAGTGTCGTCACACCGAGGGAGAATCCAGGTTGCTAATATTCTGGTGTTACCAAGCACATCACAGGAAATGCTAAGTCTTCGTTTCACACCTAGTAAATCACAAATGCAAATACGAGATAAGTGGAAAATTTAAGAGCAAGAGCTTCAAAAGAAGTCTCCTAGAATGAATGTGCAATAGTTTTCGTATAGAAAGAGCGGAATCTTATGGTCGAAATCGACCGATTTCTAATTTGAAATTATCAACATCGAGAAAGCGATACCACCAAGTAGTGATAAATTCAACAGTGAGCTTTGATCCGTAAGTTTCTTGAGCGCGCCTGAACTTGAAGTACTCAAAGTGAGCCGGGGTTTCGAGTGAAGCGTTCTAGTGAAATTTGCAAGTGAAAACCCCACTCGTCACCCACCAACCTACATCATTCTCTTTACAAACTTATATCTCGCTACACAAAAAACACCCACTTCAACGGACCGATTCACCTTTATATATTTAATTAACCACCTTTCATCTCAACAATCAATTTCCCCGATGGTCTAACGGTCATGATTTCCGCTTGTCATGAAAGTGACAAAGCCGCGGGAGACCGGGGTTCGACTCCCCGTCGAGGAGACATTCTCGATCTCATTCATCGTTTCTTTTTTCGTGTTTTTTGTCCGTCTGAGAACGGGATGCTTTTCTTCTGGTGGATGCAAGAATGACAGTGTAGGAAGTCTGACATGTTGGATTATTGTGAATATCTTTGATTATCCTTAATTGTTATATTTCCAAAGTTAACATTGGATTTTCTGCAAATATCAAAGCTCGCTTAGCGTGTGCCACAACAACAGATTGAGAAGCATGCGCATACTTCAGAAAGGATAATCCCGAAGTGGTTGCTTTACAATCAGAACTTATTACTTTTGTTTCTTTAGCAGATTATAATCCTCATCAGACTGTAGACACTATCCTCTTCTGAGACTTTGAGTAGTCTGCGTTACCCAAGACCACCAATATGCCACGGATCGAAGAATTCGTTGCTTGAACTTGCTTCCTCGCGAGTGACAATAGAAACCAGTCCCATTTAGGGAGTGCCAGACACTTGGTGCTTCTGCTTCTATGATAGATTGCAATCTTTCATACACTGTGGGATATTCTCTCCTTGCAAGACTTTGACCCATTGATGTTTTCATCCAAGAACTATGACACCTTGACTGGAGAATTCGTTCCTTGCTTGAATGCTGATAGAGCTGATTTACATCTAGTTGTAAAATTCTAGGAACCCGATAAGTTCTTTTACTGAGTACTTACATAAGTATAGGATTCGATAACTTGCTTGATGGGAAAAGCAGGCAGAATACATCCTTCGTTTTCTAATTAGACTTATCCTTACTTGCCTCTTAATATACATGCATCATACACATTCACCTCTGGATCTTCACTGTGCAATTTGACTGAAATAAAAGATTCACTGCAAGAACTCTAGAGTCGTTTGCTTTCGTCTAATGTATGGTAGAGAACAAAGGTTTTATACTAAGAGACTCATGAAACTGCGCTGAGAATCGCTCATGCCATTACAGGTTGAGTTTACGAAAATCGTGGAGTTCGGTGCAAATGTAGCAAAGTAAGAAGGGGTTGTGTATAACTTTTTTCCTTCGTGAAGGCGGATGCTGTTGCCGGCAGCGTGCATTCTTTTGGTCTAGGGACCGTTCTTTGACGCCACTCGCCGACTAAGTGTCTCTATTTTCCGTAGGTCAAGATGAATCTTTGATTTTTCTGAACTGGGTTAGTGCCACGTGTTCTATCTCATTCCAAGACCCAGATCCATTGTGTAGGAGCGTAAACTTGGCAGGCATACAAACGCCCAAGTCTAGAACTCACACTGCTTGCAATACTGTCTAGATGTGTTACTTGTGTTGATGTTATTCTTAACAATATTTCATCCATGCCCTCCACTTTGACGAGAGCCATTCCCCCAACCACTCCTTGAATTCTAGTCCACGCCCAAAGGTTGCAAACGATCAATAACGCTCTTCAAAAATATATTTCCGGCACGTGTTAAAGACGTAGCAAAGAATTGGAGTTGCATAAGACTTCCCACGATACATAAATGGGTGTGCTTCCTTACACTATGTCTTTGCGGTTTCAAATTATGAAGAATATGACGCGATGATAGGTATATGTAAATGAATGGATAGAGGAACTTCGTCAATGTACTGAGCAATATAGGGTTAATAGTGGATCTTGGGAATGGAAAAAAATCAAAAGTTGGGATTTCTAGAAAAGGGAGAACTTCCTTCGGGACCACAGAAACTATTCTTGCTGAAGCCCAAAGTAAACAGGCATAAGACGTTTTCGAAGCACAGGGTTTAGAAATTGCAGACTGTATTGCTACTTTCGGCCCACAATACAAACACCATCACTGCAAGATAGGTAGACTTGACCAGAGCAATATTTAACATAGTCCTTGCAACCAATGCAATTTGAAGCGACTGAGAAATGCCAACACCAGTCGCCCGATCACAAGCACGCGGCTAGCCTTGCTCAGTGAAGTTAGGTGAATTCCAACTACTACCACTAGCTGAAACTATTTCACAATGAGCAAGCTCTCGCATTGTGATATCGTGGTTCTAAGCCTGGGATATGTGGCAAGATGGCTGGTATCGTCCTTGACAGAAGTCCTGGAGATGAGGAAAGGGCTCCTGTGACCGCAGAATATGAGTTTTGGAAGAGCATTTTCTTCTGAAATTCTTCAACGAATAAAAGTGTCACTGTACGTCGTGAAGTAGACTCCATACATTTCAAGTCTCTACTACTGTCTTACAATATAATGGTATATTTCAGAGTGATTATAGACGAAATGAGAAATAATAATTGGAAGGATGACCTCCACGAGACAGCCAATACATGGTGCAAATATGCCCTCCTTTGCAAAATATTATGCCGGCATAAACAAAAATCTTAAAGCTGGGACTTCCGTAGCATGAGGAACTTCCTGACGAGCTACAAGATGTTCCTAAATAGTTAGAAACCTCATTTCTGCCCCAGAAAACTTTCACATGTAATACCACCTCGGATACTTAGCTCCAGGGGATAGTCAAGCACCGAAAGAGACAACGAGAAACTTAGATAGGGAAGCGAGTGGGAAAGGGAGCACGGCATGCAGGCCATATAGGACCCCGATAAACTGAAGGAGTAGTTTGAGTTGAAGTTTATGTACGCCTCTTCGGAGGACAACCCTCAAAGAGGCTGTCGGCACTTGCGTCCGCTGCTGCTTGACATCTTGCCGCGTCCGTCCACCTGCCAATTTCTTATTGCAGCACGAGATGTGGTGAACACGCAAGTTCTTGACTCGAAATTCTCCCACGACTAGTTTTGTTGATCTTCTGATGTGAGGTTTCAAACAGAAATAACAATTGAGAGGCAGGCGTATTTGACTCAGACACCACGTTCACAATGTCCACCACATGGGCAAGTAATGAAGAGGAACGCCACATTTTGGTACCTGCCTTCAGCCCAACAGTGAGTAAGTGAAAATTACTCATGCCGTTGTTGCCCACTCTGGAGAAACTTCTCCCTCTATCGGAATGTGGAATATAGACATCGAGAGGTAGAAGCCGAACGATTCCCGCCGTAGTATTGAGGCTTTCGAGATCGGGATCATCGGTACAAGACCACTTCATGATCTGAGCTTGACGACCTATCGGTTTTTTGCGACGGAATCTTCCATACTACTGTAGAAGGATCGAAATGCGGAATGGAGGACTGATTGGTATTTTTGAGTTGCGGCCCAAGCCGTATCCTTGTTGCCATGTGGTGTTCTCCATGCATGCCATAATGATGTGATCATTGTTTGCAGCGGGAAACAACGACCCAGGAGGAAATGTCCGCCTGGGATTTGACCAAAATCCCAAGCGGAGAATAGGTGGCGATTTGATGATTGGTGATGTAGTGATGCCTCCTGGGAGAGTTTTATACAGGACCAGTATCGCTAAGACTGCACGTAAGAGGTTAGAACGTCTTCGTTGTTTTACTATTCTCCGCAATCCGATGTTCAAACAGCATATCCTCCGGCTTCTAGAACTTTTGGGTAGAAAATTTAATAGGCTGATCAACTGATCGTGTAAAGTGTTTGGTAGACTCTGTTCATCCCTGAAGCTATACATTGCCTCGGCCGTTGCAAACAGGAGTGCATGTTACACCGGATGGTAGAGAGGAAGGCAAGTCTCTCAGATGAGGCTGGAAGCCTAATACGAAGTGATTTTTTGATATGCAACTACTCTGCCCGAAGTGTGCATTCCATCGGATTAACTTCCTCGTGAGGCTCTACGGCCTTGGAGATTTTCCGAGTCGATGAAAGATTTAAAAGAACTTGCAAATTTAGAGATACAACCTCCGGTAGTGGAAACTCTATTCGACCACACTTGATGCAAGTGATTCTGGAAAAGTTTAAGTTCACTGAATTTCAGACGAAACTTTCTTGGCACAGCTGAAGAGCGCAGATGTGGTGGACGCAAGCGCTGAAGATGCGGGGCTGACTAAAAAAGCTTTGGCAGCACACTTGATCTGATTTGGATTTGTGGAAAAAGCAAAGTTAAAGTTGTGATTCGTTCTCTCGGGATGTAATTGGAAGCTCCCGCTCAACTAATAAGTGACAATCTGGGGCGAGGTTCTTTCGCGTCTTGAGGCGTTGCTACCGTCATGCAGAACTGTCCTTGACGTATGTTATAAAACAATTTACAACTGCGAGTTGTGTGCCTTGCGATCGACATAGTCGTTGACAAATCTTTGGAATCAACTAGGTCCCGAATGCGAGAAGTGGACATCAACCATGAATCTGAAGATCCTAAGAAGTTGAAGAGAAGCAACCGTCAGATTTGAACCTTGAGAAGCCAATCCTGTATCCCGACGGGCGGAACCCGACGCTGCAAAACTGAAGAACCGGTTCGATACCGGAGGTAGCTTGCTAAGTAGCAGCACTTTGCCGCATATATGCCTCACTTAGAAGTGCTCATCTTAACACGAATTGATACCTTCATGTCGACAGCCAATTCTTGAGCTAGAAAACATACTTCATTGTTGCCGTGGTTGAGAGTACGCGGCCACTAATTTGTCAAACCAGTGAAGCGCAAAGAACTAACAGCTGCCGCTGCCACCAGACGACAAGTCGGATTTTGAAAACCGTGAGACGGACCAAAATTGGCAATGATCGCAGTGTGCATATATCTTGGCGACCCCTTGATGCCTGATGAACCTTAAAGTGCAAGCTAACGTCCTGTTTGCTTTAGCTTCCGCAAACTCTCATTTTCTTGTCGGGTTGCACCGTGGCCGTGGCACAACCTATCGTACCGTTGTCATAAACTGAGAAATAGGGGTCCTTCCGTCAAACTTCCAGAAGGGTTCTGATGCCGCGAGCAAGCCGTGAAGGACATGAAGCTGAGACATACGTAGTGTTGTGATCTCAAGTCTGGGGCAAGACACGGACGATTGACCAAGCTAGATCTTCAAGATGAACCCATAACAGCGGCGAAGAGTCTCTGCCGTTTGAAGATCTGACGGGGGTGGGACCAGGTACTGTAATGGCCTGACGCAAGAAGATCGTCGATGCGATATATTGCCATTAGCTTCTGAGA